CCCCAAAACCCCAAAACCCCAAAACCCCAAAACCCCTTTTGATGTTTTTATTGTTGAAATTTTAATTATAAATGACAGATCTCTTCAAATCAAAATCTGAGCGTAAATTGTAAGCACGAAGGCTTCCCAACTAATTTATATAGTAAAGAACAGATTGAGGTATAATTATTAGTAAACTTTAAGCGAGAAATTCCAAAAACTAATGAAAAATTATGGTAAATTCTTTGAAATTACAAGCTTTAGGCAAGGACAAGGGCGTGAACGATGTAAATAAGGTCCCTAGCGCTTCTTTTTGCTATCAGACAATGATACAGGAGTCATATGCTCCTACTAAAGATAAGCGTAAGATTTGTCTAACACTCTATAGGATCTATTCATAATCACTCAAAATTTCAACACAGAAATCAAGTAATTTTGGTCTAATTTAGCTAGACCGATACTATTTCAACCCAGATTTATTCTAAAAGAGACTATGATCCTGGTAAAATTAGGGCGATTAAGGCTCCATCGGCTCTGAATCTCCAAGAACTTTCCCTTCAGGAAGACATGATGGAAGAAATTAGGAAAATCAAAGCTGGTCATAAGGACTACATGCTGAATAGGATGACGATTTTATAACCCCGAGGCACACTAGGAATAAAGGTACTAATGCTTCCCAAATTGGGAAGTACAATAAGCCTTCCACATTTTACAGCCAGAAGGAATTTCGTGCTAAGATGACCATATCTGGTAATAATTCTTCTTTGAAGAATCAGAAACGAAGGATAAGCCCTTATGTTAAAAGATCCAGCCCTGTACAATCCACTAGAAGGGTTAAAAAGCTGTATAAATCTATTGACGGCAACTCTGGAAGGAGTGGAGACCGAATCATAGCTCTTAACAGCTCCAAACAAGACTTAAATCAGAGGTAAGCTGTCAAACTTCTTGCTCAGTTAATTCATAAATTTTATTTAATGGTCATAAAATGTGATACTCAGTCCTGAACCTTAATTATTGGTAGATATCCTGTGGACCCAGACAAGAAGCTAAAATAAAATACTGAGAGTCTATTGCGATAGTAAGACAGACTCAAAGCTGTATCACTTGAAATTAAGGAAAGCAGACCAGATTCTGAAGAAGAAAGTGGACAAATCTCTCAGTAAACTTTCTGGGAAGAACATGGGAGGTCCAAAAGATGTTATTTTGGAAGATAAAAGTAAGCCATGCCAATAATTCTTTAGGCAATTCTAGAAACTCACTGTTGGTGAAGGTAAATTCAGGGAGTATTCTCAGTGATTTACCCAAGATAAACATCAAGGCAGTGAAAGAAGGCAGAAATTCTACTCTGAAAAGCGAGAAGACTCATCTGACACTTAGCCAAGCAAGCTTGGCTAAGTTTTCAGAGAATCGACTCAATTCTACAAAGAGGATTCATGGCTGTTTCAAGCCTTATAATCCAAATCTGGGTGTATATGGTAAGGATAGTTATTAAAAAGTGTATTAGCTTTCTTCTAGAGGTTGTCTCCGGTTCTGATAGAACAAAAAAGCTCCTCAATGGTAAAGTTCGGATTCGAAGGAGTCCGAATCCACTAGGATATCTTCCTGGAGAGCAGAGGCACCATCAAAGTGTAAATTTGGACAAGAAAATGCTCAACCAGAAAGCTGAATTCCTTCAAGAGGCTAAAACTAGGTAAGTGTTGCTGATAGCTACTCATGGGTTAACTTTACTATAGAAATCTACAGCAAAATGCTCAAAAAGTTCTGAATAAAGACATTTTTGAAGAAATAAAATCCTCCAGAGGCCAGGGTATTGTCTGCAACCTGAAGAGTCGAATTCTGGATGGAAGTATCTCTTCTCGGAGATACAAGTCACACTTGCTTTCTAAAAACAAACATAAGAGGAAAAAGATCAGTAAGAAGTTAAAATTTGCAAACTACAACTATTTTCCTAATCAGGAGTCTAAAATCAGTGAAGTTTCTGAAGCAAATAACTTCTTGGCTCGGATTGGAGACTCCACTTTCAAACCTATAGGGTAACTCACTTGTTCATATCATAGCAATTTGGAGAAAATGCAGCTCCCCAGTCCTAGAGTTATCAAAATCTCTAAGAAAACTAGCATAACGGATTTTGAGATCAGAGATGAGATCTCTAGAGGCTCTTTTGGTGAGATAAAAGTTGTTAAGAAGTTAAGTAACAAATAAGCCATATGCCTTGAAGATCATCAATAAATCTTCAGGTGTGAGGAAAGAGCATGTCAGGAACGAGCATAAAAATTTAGCCTTGTGAAGAGACTGCTCCTTCATTATCAAATTCGAGGAGTTCTTCACAGATGTCAATAACTATTACATATTGACTGAGTATGCTCCAGGTGGAGAACTAGTTCAGGTTTTCAAGAAATTCCGCCTCCAGATGCATAAGGAAGGCAGGCTTATCCAAAGCATCAGTAAGGAAGTTTTACCATTTTTAGGACAGTACCTGGCTGAGATACTCATAGCTCTAGATTATCTGCATCAGAACAATATTGTTTATAGAGATTTGAAACCAGAGAATATAGTCATTACTGAGAAAGGGCATGTTAAACTCGTTGATTTTGGTTTCAGTAAGCAGCTAAAAGCTGGTAAAAGGACCTACACTCCATGCGGTACTAAGGGATATGCTGCTCCAGAGATCATCCAAGACCTCGGGCACGACACCACTTCTGACATCTGGTCGTTTGGCGCTCTTTTCTGATACATGCTCTCTGGATCTATAGGCAGCAAGGAGATAGACACTAAGAAAATATTTAGGCTAATTCCCAACGAGCCAGGTGCGAAGGATCTAATCAGCAGATGTCTCAGTCAGTTTCCAGAGAACAGGCCTTCTGTTGAGACCATAATGACTCACAAGTTCTTCAATGGCATTGACTGGGACGAAGTTCGAGACCTTCAACTTGAGAATTACTTCATCCCAGTTGTGTTGAACAAGTACGATACGAAGTATTTCACCTACGAGTAGAGTAAAGTTTTCAATTTGGCAGCTAAAATCAGGGGTTTTGGGGTTTTGGGGTTTTGGGGTTTTGGGG